GGATTGGTTTTTTCCTGGGCGGCTGGTATTTGGTTGTTTGAGTGATCTGATCGCTGCTTCGTTGTTTGTATGGTTGTTTTGTTTGTTTGTTTGGTTGTTTTGTTTGTTTTGTTTTGTTTGTTTGTTTGTTTTTTGTTTGTTTGTTTGTTTTGTTTGTATGGTTGTTTTGCCTGTTTGTTTGTTTTTTGTTTTTACTTTTAAAAGTAGTTAACAAGGAGACATCTGAATAGACATAAGGATCTTGAACATCTAGCTCTCACTGGCAAAATTGAAGGCAAACGAGGAAGGGGTAGGCCCATTTCAACCTACTTAGGGAACCTAAACAAATGGGTAACTAGGGAAAGATCAGGGAAACGTAGCTTTTTTTAAAGAGCATTCGAGCAAAGGAATGATTGGAGAACCATGATCGCCGATGTCTGTCGTAGATCTGGCACTGGATGAATGATGAACCAGGAGGACAAAAAGATGGGGATGGCTGGTTTGGTTGGGGGGGGGGGGATAAAAGTGATCGTATTAATCTTTCATGGTGATGCGTCGCTATGTTAGGTGTGAAATAATCGAGAGAAACGTGTTTTTTAATTTAGTGCAACGGAATGAGGAACTGGATGAGGGGAAATACTGAAAGGAAGAGTGGAAGAAAAGAAAAAAAGAAAAAACGAGGGACCAGGTTGTCTGTGTCTACATGGTAGGGAAGAAGAGAGGCAGAAAAAGTGTGTGTGTGTGTGTGTGTGTTTGGGTGTGTTTGTGTGTGTGTGTGTGTGTGTGTGGGGGGGGGGTGGGTGGGTGTGTTTGTTTGTGTGTGTGTGTGTGTTTGTGTGTGTGTGTTTGTGTGTGTGTATGAGTGTGTGTGTGTGTGTGTTTGTGTGTGTGTTCGCTGATCTTTCTCTGTTACCCGTTTGTTTAGGTTCCCTAAGTAGGTTGCTCTGGGCCTACCCCTGCCTCGCCTGCCCTCAATTTTGCCAGTGAGAGCTAGATGTTCAAGACTCTTATGTCTATTCAGGTGTCCCAAAAACTGCATTACAATTAGTCGTTTCCTGATTGTTTTTAAAAGTGAGCGTCCCACGTGGGCTTTATCAAGTACTGCCTCATTTGATACATCGTATTATCGCAATAAAGTAAAGTAAAGTTGTTCCCGCTTCCGATCCGGACATTGGGGATTGCCTTGTTAGTGAGACAACTTCCTGGGTCTTCGGCATATTGTGGTAGGGTGGCCAGTTCCTTTCCACGCCGCCTTTACTTCCCCAACTCGAAGTCAGGTACCCATTTCTGCTGGGTGGGCAGGAGGGGGCGAAAAAAATCTGTGTCCGAATCGAGGCTCGAACCCGGACTTTCCGCTTTGGAGACGAGCACACTCCGCTCCGCCACCGCACCATCTATTATTGCAATACAGGAGTAAATAAGCACAAGGTGGCTATCCCGAAAAAATGTTGTTTTGAGAAAATCGGAGGTAAATGTTTTGCCCCTTGTTCAGTTTCTTTAAAAGACCAGGAGAGTTTTCTCTATAACCAAACAAATATACACACCAATGAACCAAACTTTAAAAGACAAGGAGAGTTTTCTCTATAACCAAACAAATATACACACCAATGAAACTAAATTTCTCCTATAGGTAGGGCCCACTTTTGGTGTAGGTCAAGGTTTCTGGAAACCCCCGAAATCTAGGTTAGCCCGCTTGTCCTTAAAAGCAACCAATTTATAGACGTAAAGAACTGTGTTCTAGACGCATGTATTTCATCTCATCTCCTTTGCTTTACCTCGTGTTAAAACGTCAATGGGGGCTTACTTCTGTTCTAATACTTGCCATTATTGTTATCTCCCTCCCTCAAGGAACTTTCGTTAAATTTAATGATAAAAATCTAGAAATATGAAGCGTTAGTATTGTAAAAGGACATTTCAATTTCTTCTTTCTTTAACGAAACCCTCGAAATCTGGGTTTATTCTTTTTGTTTCCAGGCAAACTTTTCCACTCGTGGGACCTGCCGATGGTGCTGGAGTTTCTGCTGATGTTTCACGCCGCCAAACCTGGGGATTGGTTACTGGACAATTTGTTGAGTACCATGATGTGTGGGAAGGATACCAAACATGTGAGTGTGTGTGTGTGTGTGTGTGTGTGTGTGTGTGTGTGTGTGTGTGAGAGAGAGAGAGAGAGAGT